GAAACGGGGAGTTTATAACGAAACTAACGAATAAGAATTTAATCAAAGAAATAAATGCCAATAAAATTAAAATTGAACCTGAACAATTGGCTAGTTAAATTCAGCCAGGCATACCGCGGTTCGAAGATTTGATTCGAGTGATCATTGATTCAAGATTATTCCTTAATCATATTACAGGACAAGTTATAGCAGAAAGACGTTTTTCAACCCAACCAATTTCTTACGTAGGACGTAGGTTTGCTTAAGAACGCATTTAATAACCAACCCCTAATTAACTAGCAATCCTAAGTACGATGAAGGATTAACTGTTAACGCTTTAAAATCTATAGAACCCTGCCCGATTGACAGAAATACGAGCATCCATTTAATTCTGATTATATTCTTTCTTAATACAACCTAAAAAAATTCTACCCATTACGTGGTATGTTTATTAATTACTACTGCATGAAACCTAACAAAAACAATTACGGATTTGATTACGCCGAAATAGCTATGGAAATTTTCAACCAACCAATATAACGGCCCTGTTAATCATTCAATAAAATTTTCGCAGGGGATATTATTTTCCCAATAAGTCACAGAAGAATATAAAATGCAATTAGAATAAAGAAATTCAATGTAAGTTCAAATATCTTAACAATCGAAATCAAACTTCTACTTGGTATTATCCTTTAAACTTGAACAGAACGTTTAGCACACATGGCGTTGAAGAAAAACATCATGAAAAGAATTGGAAAGGTCGGGCCGAAATCTCTCAAAATTCTTTCTGAAAATTCGTACAACCCCCAGGAGGCAAAAGATGTCCACCAAAAAACCTAATTTCGCTTAAATAGGCCCTAGAAAGTGGGCCAACTAATACAATAATAATACCCACTAAAAAACTTGTGTCTAATTCATCATGTGGCCGTAAAAACGTGCGGGACTTAGTTGAAGAAGTCGTTGACAGCATAAGTCACAATCAGTCCGCTGGTCGGTGATTTCTTGCTTAGTCTTTGCCCAAGTTAAGAGCTAATAGCTTGCATTGTGTTGAAATTCCAAGCAGCTCCTTCCTTTGCGTCCAAAACATTTTCCAATTGTTGCTCCTTTTTCTTCATTCATATCAGTCCAAACTTTTTTCAATCCAACTTTTCCTAGCATAAAAACAATAAATCAAGTTAAACCACTCTTTTAAGCACAAAATGACACCAAATCAACACAAATATAACAATAAAAGAAAATTGGATTTGCAAGTTATCAACATATCCCTTCGCTAGACTTACAATGACTTAGGGAGCTCGAACTTCTCAAATTGAAGCATAGTTTAAATTAATGAAAAAATTTAAATTTGAAATGTTTAAATAAGAATAGAGATATTTTCAAGAAGAAATAAAAGAAATTTGACATACAAGGAAATTTTTGAATCTCCAAAATTCCTAAATCATAACTCTTTAAAATACAAAACAAAGTAATAAAAGAGTTGAATTTAAAGAAAAACATAATCATTTACATTTTTAATAAAAATAATTTATAACATGGTTAATTCCAATGTTCTGAGAACCGGACTGGTCACTGAATCGGTGGATGTAGAGGTTCACTAAATCGGATTCTTAAAAGTCTGACTAAAGACTTTCGATCCATAATTGTTTTTGTCGATTAAGCAAGCTTTTTGCTATTATATCTAAGTTCCTCATATTTTCTCTTTTTTTATTTAAATTTTTTTTTGAATCGAACCATAATAAAATGCTACTTTGGTTCACTGGTTTTTGTCTAGTTCTCACCGGTTCTCTCTGATTTTTTAACCTCTTGGTTTCACTATCCAATTTAGACCGGACCACAGTCTGATTCTTGGTTAACCGATCAAATCGACTAATCCGCTTCAGTTTTCAGAATTATGATTGATCCCTTAATGATTTGAGAAATGTCTATCTTATCCATTAGAATTTAACTTGGAGAATTCGAGTGTTATTTATAAGACTAATAACTGGAGTGTGAAGGTTGACAGGCAAATTCGTAAGTGCAAATCGTAACAATAAAAGTGAGGTAAGGTGTGCTAAGGAATAATAAAGGTGGAGTAAAGAGTCTATTTTTTCAATTAGCTAGTATTATTGACTCTAATGAAGCTGAACTAAGAGCAATTTTTAGGGCTATAGAATTGTGTTCTCAATCTCAGTTCAAACTCTCACCATGAATTGTTGAATTTGATTCAAAATCTATTGTGTCTTGGGTTTTAAATAAAAAAAAAAGATCTTGGAGGTGGAAATTATTATTTAATAGGTTTGATAGCATATCTGGATATTTATGTTAATGACTATTAAGGATTAAGAGCCAACTAAGGAAATAAAATAAATAATTGACGAGTTATTTGGAGACCAAATTGAAGGGTTATTTTGAACTATAAGTTAAGAGTTGAATACAAAATTATTATCTGTGGTAATTGAGTACTTGGATTATTGATTGCCTGATGGATGGGCTGTGAGAGTAATAATTAATAAATATATTAAATCGTTAACATTTAAGCAGATATACATTAAGTTAATTATTTAATTTTTTTATTTAAAGAAAGTCATTTGTCTGATATGATCTTTCCTTTATATTTATGTTTTATCCAGATCGTTCGAGTTCGTCTATCGCTCTTGCCAATCAAAATCCAAATTAAAGCTTGTTTTTCTCCTATCACCGTGAGTAATAATAAATTGTGCATACCATTACCATACATGCATCATCCATTTATGCTATATAAATGTATTTGATACTTAATCCTTATCTTCACATATTAACAAGATAATATTGAAATATAATTATTAATATTATTATTCACTTCATAAATATAATATTTAACTGTACACTTGTTATATAATCATATACATCATGATTACACTCATGTGTTGCACGTTGATCATGAATATGATCTGTTATATTATATGAATTGATTGAATTACTTGTGATGTAGCAATACTGTGCCTTATTTGCATGAAAATTGGGATAAAATGGGTTCCCATGGGATTATGATGACGGTTCGAGACCTTTGGCCATGTAAGGGAGATCGGCGCCCTTGTGTGCACCCGATGAAATATAATATGAATGATATTGAAAACTATAGGGTAACCTGCTTTTAATAATGAAAAGAAGAGAAGAAATGGAAAATAATATAAGAACTAGTCAGGTGAGAATTAGACCAGTTGGCCTTGTAAAGGGGATCAGCTCTCTGGTGCACACGTATAAGAGGACAGACTATGTGTCAGAACAGCCTGTTGGAGGTTTGGTGACGCCATTGACCAATCTCTACTTGATATGATTATGTGAAGGTGATATCTTTGAAGATGCTGATGCCGTGACACTTGCTTGATTAATTGTGTGTTAATTATACAAATCTGGAAAGTATTTTGCGTGACTATCGAGATTATACATTATTTATTATTGTTCACTGAGTTTGTAAAACTCATCCCTTTCCTTTAAATTTTTCCCAGTAGGTAGACATTTTGTTAATCCAAATATGCTCTGCATCTTTCTTCGCAGAGACATGTTAAACTGTACAGTATTGTATGTATGAACAATCCGTGTCCATTTACTAGACTTTACAGTTAGGATGTTTTGCTTTATATCTTATTATATAAAAATTAATAGTATAGTGGGCAGTAAACATGTGGATTATACTTTATTACCTCTTAAAAGGTTATGTACAGACCAATTTGCTCATATTATAAATAACGTGAATTATATATATATGAGTTGTATGAGATATTGAAGCTGGACCAGAGATATGGGTTGTTGAAATTACTTAATAACGTCGAAATATAGGCTTATTGTTCCCAGAGTTGGCTTAAAAGAAATGGGTTTTCGTAAATTAGGCTTACTACAGGTCTTGGGAGCCTTAAGTTTACCTAATCCCTAGTGCCAGTCCGGCCCACGGTCTTAGATCGTGACACGTTAACACACAAAGCATTTAACAAAAGATTATAAAAATGCACAAACCAACAAAACTTAACAAAGTGAACTAAAAAAGTTAATTATGCTAACTAAACAAAAAAAAAAAGTTTCTTGTTTATATTTTTGGCTTTGACATTTATGATCGATTTGATATGTGGTTAGCATAATTTTTAAAATAATAATTTTCACATTTTTTAACTATTCAGTAAGTATTTAATTGACCTACATTTAAAAGTTGAAGTCTTTAATTGAAAAAAATTACAAGTAAAGCGTCAATAATTGCAATTTTATAAATTGAAATATTAATCGATAAATATTAGAGGCGAGGGTGCTATAAATTTTTTTTTTTTTTTTTTTTTTTTTTTTTTTTTTTTTTTACAAAGCATGAGGTAAAAAAAAATTATGCATTTGAGCATTTCATGTTCATGTATCCATTACCTCATTTGTTGACTTATTTAAATGGAGAACAACTTATCAAATAGGTGATCCTCCCTTATGTTGGCATAAGGTGATTATTATGCGTCACAGATCCATCGCCTCAGCCGCCAAAGACAAATCTATTCGCAGCAACGCAATTGTGATCAACCACAATTACTACTTGTGTCTTTACCTAAAGCTTGAGGTTTGAAAGTCTCTTGGATAAGTTTATTAGGAAAAACTTACTTAAATTGGGTGTACAACCCTATTTATATATTAAATCAGTGAAATTGAAGTTTTTATTGAAATGATGGTATTTCTAATTATAAATTTAAAAAAAAAATTAGAACACATTTTAGGAAATCCTTAATTTTATTTATTTAGTCTATGTTAGAATATATTATGGTTATAGAATATTGTGTAATTATTGGGTAAAATATCCTATATAGTTATAGCTACGATCTTTTAATATCCTATATAGTTATAACTAGGATTTGTTACCATATTCATAGTACATAAATGGGGTCATGAACTCAATTTAGGAAAATTTTTTCAAGTTTATTTCCATTTTATTAGTTGGCCGTAAGACAATTGGATTTCTATATTGCCATGTCTCAATATCCTATCTTACAAAATGTCAAATATACCCTAGCCTAGGCTATAAATAGCTTACACACTCTTCCCCAAAAATGCATACAAACTCTACTTGTCTTCTTTACTTCAGCTACAGCCAAATCAACCATTAACAATGTTAAGAACCTTAAGCTTCCTATGGCTACTCATGGCCACAATCGCAATGGCTCAATCTCCACCTGTGCTCGACGCAGATAGACGACCTCTTAGAAGTGGTGTAAAATACCACGTACTGCCAGCTGCAACTGATACAGCCGGCGGTTTGACTTTGATCAGCCGCAATGACTCTTGCCCTTTGTACGTTGGTCAAGAACCACTATCGGAGGTTGTATCACAAGGCTTTCCGCTTATCTTGACATCAAGAGATGGAGACAGTGTTATTAGAGAGGGCAGAGACTTTAAAATCGTATTTTCAGCCGCTACGATTTGTGTTCAACCTACTGCGTGGACGGTAGGTGAGGCGGATCCAAAGACATCGAGGAGATTTATTGTGACCGGGGGAGATAAAGATTATTTTAATATTGGAAAACATAATGGTCTGTATAACTTCAGGTGGTGCCCAAATTGTCCAAGTGGAAATTGTCCAAAGCCAAGATGTGGAGATGCTGGTATTGTGATTGAGAACGGGAAGAGATTGTTTGTGTTGGATGGTCCTGCATTTCCTTTCCAGTTTAGGAGAGTTACTAATTAATTTCTTTGTTTAGAGGAGGATTGACTTCTCTTTGGCATCGTATTTTAGTAAATAAATGAGAAGATGTCTCTTGCTGAATGAAATTTTAAAGTTTATTTTTTTTTTATATTCATTTTCTATAATATATACAGTTTTCAACAAAAAGAGGAATCGTTAAAGGAAGACCTCACGCACACCAATACATAGTCTAGTGGTAAATACATGTACGGCTTGGTAATAGAATCAGGTTTTAATCTCCTTCTCAATACTAGGGGTGGCCACAGTTTCGGAACCGAACCGAAAATTAACAGTTTCGGTTACGATTTGGAACCGAACGGTTCCGGTTCCGATTCCTCAACGGTTCTAAAATCAACGATTTTGGCCAGTTCTCTGACCGCTTTTTCGACGATTCCGGCTGGTTTCGAACAATTCCGACCGGGTTCAGACGGAACTAGAACCGTCGGTTCTGACTGGAGCTGGAACTGCCGGTTCACAATTTCAAAACTGGTGGAACCAGAATCGAATCGGTTTGGACGGTTCTAATTCCGGTTCGGATTGGTTTCAGTTCCCACCGGTTCCGGTTTCGATTCCCACCGGTTCGGAACCGATGGTTTTGGTTCCGAAAACTGGATTTTGGCTATCCCTACTCAATACTCGAAAAAGAAAAAAAAAAAGATCTCACATGAGGATGATTCACAAGAAGACATCAAACATAATATAATTAATTAATTCATAAAGTACATGTTTATATAATTTGATTTTATATTTTGTTGTGGTTTCTTTATATATAACTCACTTTTTGTCAGATGTCAAAATGTTTTCAGGTTAATTACATTACCCAAATAAGATCTTAATTTCTATTTTTGATCACCTAATTCTGCAAATACTAATTGCTTTAAAAGAATAACATCTATACGAAATGTACTTTATTTCCTTTAATATAATTTCCATTTGTAAATGATACAAAATAAAGTAATTTAGTTATTAAAATTGAAATAATATAAGAAAATTTAATATTTTCATTCATATAAAAACATGAAAAAAATGGAATTTAAACTAAATTCAATATTACGTTTCATTCCGAGAGCGAACTACATATAAAATCTCTCAATCTACTAACAACTATTTCAAAATCATAATTATGGGCCGGTTCAGCAAAATTAATTATTTTGGTAGCTATTAGGTATTTGGTAGCGTTTAGCTGGATAGGCTTTTCATAAAATGTTAAAATTAAACATTATATGAGTTAACTTTTTGTAAAATGCTATATTAACATTTACAAACTAATTCAAACACTATGTCATCAAATACTATAAAAAATAGCACTTAATCGAAATGTTAAAAACTATTTAAAAACCTATTACCAAATACAGCATATATAACAACTCGTCCAACGTGTAAATAATTAAAAGAACGATGGATGAGTGTTAAAGAAATAGCAGAGTTCCCTCGATATATAAAGTGCCAACCATGCAAAAACTGGTATCTTCCTATCAAAGTTTTCTTGCTTTTCTTTTTCTAATATTTGGAAAAAATTGTTATCATTTTGCTATTAGCTTCATTTCACTCTATGTTCGTGTGGGCAACAAATTCAAACAATTTGTCAAATAGAGGGGAGGGGCTCATTTTACGGATAATATGACTAAATCAATCAAAATATAAAATTTTAAAAAATACTCTCGCTTTCTCCTTTTCTCTTTAATGAAAGGTTAAAAATAAGGTGATTTTAATAAAAGAACTATTTTTTATTTGTTTAATCAATGGATGAGTTAATAAATCGGGTTTAAGCAAATCTTATAAATCAAATGAGAAAAAAAAAATAAAAATCCCTCGTTGCAATTGAAAAATTAAAAATTAAAAATTATTGATTTAATTAGATCAAATTATTTACTTATTCATAAAATAATAATAAAAAAAAAAGAATTGCGAACTTTAGTGATAGTTGATGTTACTTAATACCCTTTAATTTTTATAGCACTTGTATTCCACAAATTTTTAGTTGATTTACAATAATTCACTTCAGTTGTTAAGATATTTATTTTGCGATCACCAAATCAATGGATCCCATTTAATCTTTTATTTGGATAATGATCATTTATTCTGAGAATTAGTATATGACAGATGATACACAAAGTCAAAATGATAACTAAATTTGACAATTAAAATGTTTTGTTACTTTGTAATTAATCACAATAATTAATTCTGCACCTTACGGCAGCCATGGCGGCAGTGATTTGATAATCTCATCTTTGTCAACTGCTGTACACATACGACTATATCATCCACGCAAAGGGTATCAAGTTGGACTTTACCATGTCCGTATGGCCGTACCATAGCCTATAAATACCTCACAACTCTTATCCAAAAATACATACATTCAAATTTCTTTAATCTTGATTGTTTCTTATATACCAGAGAATTTAACCATGTTCAGATTCATCGGAAGCTTCACCTTTTTATGGCTTGTCATGGCAACAACTGCCATGGCTCAATCCACAACCATACTCGACACCAATGGACAGCCCCTTACAAGCGGCGTAGAATATTACGTGCTTCCAGCTGCCACTGATACTGCTGGTGGTTTAACCTTGGTTAACCGCACCGGCTCATGCCCTTTCTACGTTGGTCAAGAACCTCTTTCAACTGTAAACTGTTCGATTTCACAAGGCCTTCCTGTGGGTTTTACGCCAATGATGGAGAATAGTGTCTGTAAGAGAGGATATTCCTTTTCACTGTTTCATTCTCAGCCTCTACGACTTGTGTTCGATCCACCGGATGGAGGTTAGATAATGATGAAGAAGTGTCGAGGACATTTATTGTGACAGGAGGAGATCAAAGCTTCTTTAGAATTCAAATTGATGATAATGGTCTCTATAACTTGATATGGTGTCCAGTTTGTGATAGGCCAAATTGTCCTAGGTTTAGATGTTTGGATGCTAGTATTTTCTTGGAGAATGGAAAGAGATTATTGATTGTGGGTGAAGATCAAGCTTTTCCTTTCCGATTTAGGAGGGCCAATTAATTTCTTTGTTCTCAAGATATGGCTTCTTGATATAATCATATTGTAGTATTAGTGAATAAATAGAGAAGTCCATCTCTTGATTAATATTTATGTAAAATGTATTATGCATGCATTTGATTTCTTAATTAAAAAACCCTTTTCCTTTTTTATTTTAATTAGCTTTATTTTATTGTTTATTTATTTTTTTTTTTCTAACAGCAAAACAACCAATATGAATTATAATTAAGAGAAAGAACGAAGAAAGACTTAACACAAACTTACAATCCTCAACTTCCAATGTTCCTATATTAAATCAAAAGTTCTATAACCAAGCGCAGATCCTACTACCCGATATGCGACTACAAAATGCGAATTTGAAAAGCCCAAATCAAATCTGCCAAACTTTCTCCTAAGACTAAGAAAACAAGAAGGGCAGAATGACAAGGCTATCTCTCAGAACATACGGCAGTACAAAGAACTAAATCACAGCCAAGCCAACAAAGAAAATTCCAACCCTATCAAACACCCCCTTTAGCTAAGTGATCTACCATAGAGCTGCGAAGACCTCAAATATGAGTGAAAGAGACCAAAGGGAAGAGAAGATAAGATGAATCCAATTCGACTTTGAAAATCAGACCAGTAGCTCCAAGGTCTAGATGCAGCCTTAGTAGTCCCAAGAACAATAGCACAACTTTAGAATCTGCAGTTCAATAATACAGTGGACAGAGGCACTAAACCTGAGAAGAAGTTCGCAAAGACAATTCCAAGGCCCAAAAAAAGGATTGCTAAACAGCTTCAGCCTTATCAAAGCGCACCAAAGCCCTTTTAGAGAAAAAGAAACAACAGAAACCGGAATCATTATGATCCTTAGGGGTGTTCATGGTCGGCTTTGCGATCGGTTTGAATATAATAATCGAACCAAACCTAAAAGTGCGCCGCTTTTTAAAAAAAAATTAAATCAAAATGAAATCATAAACAAAATTTTCAAACCAAACCAAAACCTGATCACCAATTTTCATTATTGGATTCGGTTTAGACGGTTTTAGAAATAATAAAGATAAATTTTTTCTTGAATCATCTGTTAATAAAAAAAGGGAAAAAGATTGACATAATGTTAAAATAAAAAATGAATTAATAAAAATTATTGCCATAAAATACAGGATTGAATAGCTATTAAAAAGTTATTAAAATTAATTTTTTATATGTCATATTCTTAGTATAGCCTATATGAAAAATGTTAACATATTTAGTGAGAATAATAATTAAAGCAAATTACAATATAGAAATTTTGATTTTGATTTAACGTACATCTATTACTAAAAATTCTATAAAAAAATTATGTTTTATATGCATATAGCTCTATTCCATTATATTAATCTAATTTTACATGAATTTTTTTGAATATTTTATTTAACAATAATCTATAATTTATTCTAATAATAAGACAATTATTCGTTTCAATTAATCTCATCAATTACTCCATTCCAATATAATATTAATCAATGCCCCAAAGAAAATTTTTCATCCAAAAAAGAATGGAATGAATATATATATATATATATATATACTATATCATAGTTTGCGTTCGGTTTTGAAGGTTGTTGATCTAAAATCATTAAACCGCAACCACAAGCTTGCGGTTTTTTAAATTTTTATAAAAACAAACCCAAAAACCATCAAATCTTTTGAAACCGCGATTCTTTCAATCGAATTTTGGTCTGGCTTTTGCGATCGGTTTGGGCGGTTCGATGGACGCCCTTAATGATCCCCTAAGAACACCCCCCACTACCAAAGGGCTTTGGCTTTCCCTCTAGATGGAACCATCCTACATTTGAATATAAGAGGAAACCTGCAGCAGAGGCACGATCCAACAAAGAGACTCTCTGGATCCCTTGATTTTTATCCGAGAAGATAAGGGTTTAAATGGCCCAACGGGGGGGAAAAAAGCCACCAGAACAGGGAAAGAAAAACCAGTCACTGAGCCCATAAGACATCATGGAAAACTTTGCTGTTTAAGTTTATTTGTCCCTAAAGTTTTACACAAATTACAATTAATTCATCCTTGTATCTTTTGTACTATTAGGCCCATTTAGTTTCGAGATTTGCATTCTGTCCCATTGACTGGTCCTCTCGTCTAATTTTAACATTTTTTGCCCTGTTAAATGCTTAATAAAAGACTAAACATAACCTTTATAATAAACACAAATTAAAAACCCACTATCACTTTTATTCTCCCTTTCATCTCCATTTTTTGCGACTCTACTGTACAAAACTCAACAAAAAATAAATAAATAATTTATTCTTCACTTGCCTATAACAACCCTCAAAAAGAACCAAACACTTGTGATTACCCTAATCTAAAAACCTTAAAAATCAGTTGGACAACATAAGTAATCTCTTATTCGCATCTCTCATGCAACAACAGCCATCTGAAAATTCCCTACGTTCTTTGTGGTTCACTTTCTCCAATTCCCATATCCAAATGCTATTATCTGTTTACATCTCCCCAAGTTCTCTTTGCCTACTATGTGGAAGGTCCTTAAAACCAAAACATTAAGCTTTCTCGAGATATGGCTCTTGTCCACTCTTATGCGTAACAATCTAGGCCAAGTTCATTTCCAAGTTTCTACACTCTAAGCCAGTCATTTTTTGCTTGGTCATAGGAAATTCCCAAAAATATATAAACACAATCAATCTACCACATCTTCCCAAGTCTTTATTCGTGTAGAAATTGCTCGTATTATAATAGTGCTGTCCATTTGCCAGTTACAAATTAAAAAGATGAAAGAAGGAGATGCACATCGAATTGTTTTTTTTTCTTTTTTTTTTCTATGTTGAGTCATAATTATGAAACTATTAGCTCTTTGTTGCAGCTGCATAAAAACATACAATAGCTAGCTTATGAGTGGACCAAATATCATATACAGGATTTCATCATTCTGATAGTAATTATTCTAAATACGTTGAATAAGATAGTAGCAAGAGGATTAATGGTGAGTGAATCTCTTAGGATGATTGAAGAATAATAATTATATTATATTATATATAGATCGAGTACTTGGTAGGCGTACAGAATTTTGGACATATACTAGAAAAAAACAAAAAAAAAAATAGAGAAAATCCGGCCTTCGATGTGAGCAAGAATTTGGCTCTTTATGAAAATTATAATTATGCGAGAATAAAGTGGGAAAATCCTCTCTAAAGAAAGGCTAAGCGGTTATAATTTATTCATATAGGTTTTTATTTAATAATAAAATGATATATACTTTCTATACTCTGTGACCAAATACATAACATACTGCTGTTGTAGCTATAACGATTATAAACATGTTACCTTAAAGTGTCGAAGTCTGTCAAGATTTCGGTTACGGATAGAAGACAATCACAAATTAATTATAACGAGTACAGGTTACCATTCATTCTTTGATTTGAGTACATTTTTATCGAAAACGTTAATATACCTAATATACAAAAATACGATGGATACCAGATGAGATAAATTGCGAAATATATATATAATTTGAATATCTCACTCTAAGAATATCTGAATCTAATTCTATCAGTTAGGCACCATATTGTTAATTTATTTCGTTTCCTTTACTCAAATATTTTTCAAATTCTCTCAGGTGCATTATTAACTCAATAATGTACACACTTATATATGGTTATCCTTTCTTGTAGGCTTTTGCACTTTACTTACAACTTAGCACTTAGACCCAAATACTTAACTCCACAAATTATAAGTACACTCATTTACATATATAGATTGCGACTCATTCCTTCTCAATTAAACTAAATCAACTCCCTTACTTCTCATAACTTATTACTCTTTAACCAGTATTTATTGTTTGGAGATAAAGAGACATAGTCCAATATTAGGATTTAATCATATACAAAACGTAGGCTGTCATGGTGGTGCGTTAATTTAGTGTAGTAAATTCCATAGATGAGACCATTAACTGGCAATGCTATACTTTTCTGCACAAAATATTTTTTGGATTGAGTAACTAATGCGATCATTTTGATTTTCCTCTCTGCACTATCATGAGGAGAGCGTATCTTCTCACCAAATATTCTACTTACAAGCAACGAAACCTCACCCTTATTCAGTTAGAAAGCCCATACAATGAACCTCCATCTATTTCTTTTGTAAGGAAAATATATAAGTAAATATCATTGATATTATAATACCATATTATGACAACCTAAAGGCATAGAAAAATTAGAAAAGTGATGAGCAATACACATTAGAAAACCTTATAAAATATATATCCTTCTATTAATTATATCTAATATTAACTCAAACATTAACACAGATTACTAAGTACATATACTTTAGCTTGAGAGAAAAAAATCTTCAAGCAACGTTATGGTGAGAGGAGAGTAGAGAAAAAATATGAATATACTACGAGTAAATTCATATTATTCATATTTATTATACTGTTTCATGAATTTTAATATTATATAACACATAATATATACACATACACTAATGTATTTTGGGGTGTTTTACCTTGTGTTATTATACTCTCGTTATACAAACATTGCCTGCAGATTTTTAACAATTGTCAGTGTACCCACGATGACAATCGCACTCATTTACATATGAGAATAATTTATTTATTCTAAATATAACTCTACAAACTATTAGAGCATGTGACAATTCTGTAGGTCTCAATGAGCTTCCTAAAGAGTCAAGGCACATTCAAATGGTAATGTAAATATCTTAATGTCCTCATCCCCATACTCTAGCTTTTTTATAGCGCGGTAGAGAACAAAAATGCACCGCCTCTGAATATGCAATTGTGAGTAGGCGCTTATTGGCCGTAGCTCAGCTCACTATTCGGATGCTTTATTTCCACTGAATATAATCAGTTAGCCTAGACTAGTATAGTCATTTGGTTTGATGAAATTCAGTGATTACTCTTTGGTTCCTTTCAAAGCAATGTTTTGTCAACAGAATCTATAGAAGCTTTCACTGCTCAAACCAATCTTGTTGCTACTGTCGATACCGACTCACAAGCTTACTTCACAAAAAAATCACAGATTCCGTGTTGATTCCTTTGACTTATAACTCTGCTTTACCAATACACGTGTTATGATCATGTGACATTAATGCCTCTTAGTAGTAAAGATGTGTAACGACGCGATTATGTTGCTGCGGGCGATT